CACACACACACACACACACACACACACACACACACACACACACACACCCCTACTGGGAACTGTCTCTCCTCTCCTTTTTGTTTCTGTAGGTAAGACCACACTGAAAGAGCGTTGTAGGAGCCCCTGCCCACACTTCGCTCTACCTAGACGAACCCCACAGACTTCCTCACAAAGAATGCTGACTCCGGAACCTAGACAAAGGAGGGTGTAGCTCAAAGAGCCAGGCGCTCGCAGAAGCCGGCTGCCGCTCACCGGCTGCCCGCCACCACCTCTCCCGTGCTCCGGGGACCAAGAAGTCTGCAACGGATGGCGGGCTTGGTTCATTCCCCAAACTTTGGGAGTCGGTGTTTCCCCCGAACTCTGCAGGCTGCAGCGGAGGGGAGGGGGGGGCCGAGGAAGCCGCGGGTACCGAGGCGGGGTTCGCCCACCCACGTCCCGCGGAGCCCCGGGGGTCCCCTCACCTGTCCTGAGCGCGGGCTCTCGGGGTTCCGGCGGCCTCTCTCCGGGGCTCCCCGCTCCCGTAGCTGTCGCGGCAGGAGTGCGCCTCCGGGGAGCAGCGGGGGAGGCGGCGGGGTCGGGGGCGTCAGGCAGAGCGTGGGCAGTCGCGGGCAGCCGTGGTCTCACTCCCCATCCCCGCGCGGCTCCGGCCGAGGACGCGGCGCGGTCACCGGGGGAGGATGAGTCAGGCCCGGGTGCGGGCGCCCTGATTCGCGCCTGTGGGGGACGCGGCCCCCGCCGCCATCGGACGCGAGGAGTGCCAGCACCCCTGCCCTGCTGGGTTACGGGTGGGACACCGGGAGCGAGGCCGGGACAAGGGGATCGCAGCTAAGGCGTCTCCGCCACTGCCAAGAAGGACAAAAGGAACGTGGGGGGTGGGGAGGCGAGGGAAAGTTTGGGGCTTGGTTCCTGACGGATTCTAGTCCCCGGAGCCGCCAGGAGGAGGATGGGGGCGAGGGCGGGGACGGGCTTCCCGGAGCGTCGCCGCCAGCCGGGGACCCAGACGGTGCCAATCACACCGCCGCCCACGACCCGTGGGAACTCTGCCGGCCCTGCCCCCCGGCTGTGCCTAGAGCTGCGAGCAGCATCCGTCCGTCCCTCCCTCCCCTCCGGACCCCAGCCCAGCTGCCCCACGCCCTGGCGGCAAAGTTATACTTCTAGCGCCGGGATGGCGCGCACACAAAACCCATTTCGGGAACAAAAAGTACCGCTTCGAGGCGCTCTGCTTCGGCTGAAGGCCAGCGGGCGAGAGCGGACACACCCACTCGCCTATCACCACGGCCGCCGGACCCGGGTTCCAGAGCGGGAGGTTCCCCGTCCCTCCTGTCCCAGTAAGAACTGGGGGGTCCCCGACCGACTCCGTGTTGTCTGGAAGCCGGAGCCAACTGATCCTCGGCTCCACGCCCCTTGGATGCTTCCTTATCAGATGCAGCCTGGCCAGGTCGGGTTCCCTCTGGCGGCTGCAGGGGTGCTGTGCCGACAGAAATCAGACCTGAACCCACGAAGAGAGGGATACTGCACGCCCTGAGCCTCCAAGGAATTAAGCCGCTTTAGCGTCCTTGGGAAGTTAGCTCATGTGGAGCGGACTGGCTGGGGAGGGGTCTGGGCATGAGGTTTTTGAGAGACAGGGTCGAATTGTACCCTAATACTTCGAAAGATGGGTCCGAGATTCAACTCCAATAAAGATCAAATCCAATAAAGGCTTTAAGTCACCCCAAAATTATCAGTGAGTGAGAACCATACCCTCTCCGTAGAGTAAAATAATAATTAACCCGCAATCTTGCAAGACACCAAAGCTGAAGATCACGTCAGTAAATAAACTTTCGTATCCCAGTTACTGCGTTGGAGTATGCAGAACGCACCAACCCTAGCAGGACTACTGTATGGTAATCCCGTGAGTTCCTTGGATTTTTTTTTTTTTTAATTCATAGACAAAGGACAAATATGCCGCTGTGGTATGTGCCTGCTTCATTGTGCCAGTTTCTGATCTTTTTTTCTCAGAGAGGATTCCATGTGCCCTCCCTAAAATGTCTAGACTCAGAGAAATGAATGTGATGCAACTCCTGGAGCCAGACAGGTAATTAAGGTGACACCCTATGGCAATGAGGAGAGACTAAAAATGGGCAATGATGGAGGAAAAAAAAAAAAAAAAAACTTCTTGCTTCAATCTGGAATCTAAATACTTTTTGTAAAATCTCACGACCAAAATGCTTTAAAAAAAATCAAAGGAGATGGGACGGAGGTTGGAGAAAATGAGTCACCATTTTGTAAACCATCTGTGGTTTTCTTTTTCTCCCACCTTCATCTAGTAATCTTGGCCCAAAGCCATTTGCTCAGTTCTCTTAGGTTTTCTAATACATTTGTCAAGGAACCCTATCAAGAGTGTGAGTCCACTAAGCTTCTAGCCCTTGGAAAAGAGTGCCCCAAATCTTCCTTCTCTTCAAAGCTTCCAAGAGTAGAGACTTTCCAGTGAGCCTTCCTGATGTCCTAGGAATGACGGATTCCTACCATCCAGGGAGCACATTTAATGTGATAGACTATCTAAACGTACAGTGAGACATTTAAAGTGGCAAGCCAGACGTTAGAGGCATCCAATGGCTATCAGAATGATGACAAAAGGTCATGGGAGAGGTCAAAGTTCATCTTTTCATAATTACCGATCTGAACTTATATTCCAATTATTCAGCGGAAAGAGGAGGAAGAACAGGAGGGACTGGGTGAGATCATCAACATTTTTAAAATTGCATTTTGAAAATAATTACTATTAGTCAGACAAATCTTGTAGTAAATTACCCTGCAAATTGAGGATTATCTGCAGTTCTGTAGTCTAAGCAGCCCTCAAGAAGACAGTCATAAGTTCCTCTCCAGCACTTAGCAAGCTCGGGTAAATTATTTAATCTCTGCTAATGGCCAATATTTTCCGTCTGAGAAGAGCCCGGTGAGCATACCGTGTCAGTAATGGATTTCGGACTTAGCGGCTTCATACCCACTTTGATATAATGGATGGGAATCCACTCTTCCCTGCTTCTCAGGGTAAAAGCTGCCTTGTTCCACACATAATTGTTTCGTGAGTGTGTCCTCCTGAGGTGTGTGCATTCTCATCAGAACAAGCCCATCCTCAAAGATCACATGGGTACAGAGTAGAGAGAATGCACTGCTCTCTCCAATGGAAATTAACTACCTAATGCCTGAAGGACTTTTGAATATTATTTCTCTTGTTCCTTAAGTAGAAAAAAATACCTAATGTTGTTATGAGGTAGGTTAAAATAATATATATGAGATTCTTCTGACTTGTTATATAGCCAGTACATTTAACTGCGCACACACCCACTCACCAACCCTGTTTAAGTCTACGGTAACAAAAGAAAAGAGAACTTTTCCTCTACATCAAGAAGTAATGAGAGAGAAAAAACCTCTAACTATGAAGGTCAGCATTTTTATTCAGTACATTATAAATATATAAGTCTGATGATTGGCAATGAATTTTTAATGAATTATGGGATTCATACATTAGAATTATGGGGAACATAATTAGAATGAAAAAGCATGATCATTAAAATTTTAAGATTTAAAAAAGGATTTGTCTATATATGTGAGCCTATACGTGTATATGCCATTTGTGTGCAGGGGTTCGTGGAAGCCAGAAGAGGAGGCAAGGTTACAGGGGATGGAATTACGTACCATCATAAGATGCCCAACCACTGAGCAGTTTCTCTATCTCTACATGGGCATTTTTAAGTAGATCAGGTATATAAGAAAAACTACTAGACAGAGTGAAATAAACCCCCTTTGCCACAAATGCAGGCTATACTGTTCTTAGACCTAAGAAGAAGAACCCCAACACAAAAATGAAAGCACCAAATGAAGAGGAAATTATTTGCTAGACTTTTGACTGATTTACTTTGATCAAACTGTGAAATGGATTGATAACCTAAATGTCCCTGAGCTACACCGCTGGCAGCCCTGGTTACATTTCAAAGCAGGGGCAAAGAAAAATAAAGGCAACTGAGAAAATGACCTTTCTGATTTTATCCTTAAAATAAAGATATAAGTATGGGAAATGCATACGCATATCTTTATATAAGGGAAAAAAACATAGTGGGAATATATATCTTGAGAGATTGCATTCACTCTATTTCCCCTTGGCTCTGAACAGTACTTCCTCATCTTTTTTTTTTTTTTTTCACTGTCTCAGCTACTCTCACTGTTCAGAGAATTTGGCAACAGAAGCAGCAGATGTGGCTCGTGTGTTTAGCAAACAGGTAAGCAAGAGCGGTACTCCCTGTCAGGTAGATGTTTTGTGATGTCAACACGATGCTTGCAGTTAGACACTCTGTAAGTTCAGCAATGGCCCTGTTCTAGATAATAAACTGATCAGGCTCTTTTTGTCGGAGGGTCACAAAAATGCTGACGGGACACATTTTCCTTTATTAAGACTCAGCTCTTTCCTCTAGACAGATTGGAAAAGCACCACATGGCCAGCAACAGCAACAACAACACACAGATAGACATACACACACACACACACACACACACACATCCTGAGTACGTGTTTTGTGTAGACTGTTCACAGAAAACAGAGGACAGCGATTCAAATAGTGGATAACGCAGCAGTGGCGAGCCGTGGTTCTGCTGTCCGTGGTCCTGAACAGGCCTTACTGGTTGGTGCCTGGCCGCTTAGTGTGTTCTGTCCTTGACATCATTTGATACAGAGTAGCTGAGACCTAAGGATGCGTTGCACAACCCTGGTGAACCGAGTTTTGCAAGCCAGTGATTCTCAGAAGTTATTGATTTGGCTTGCTCGTCAGAATTTGGGAAGTGCTGCATTAGGACAAGGTTCATTTGCCTTGCAGCTTACATGCGCTTGCCCTCCTTCATTCCAGTCCCTTCCAGAAGTACAAGCCAAATGCTGCCATTTTTAGCTACATTCTATTTGGTGGTGGCTGTGTGGTATTCCATTGAGAGCATTTATCTTGCATCCATCTTGAGTCAAAGAGCTAGGTTAAAATCTCAACTTGTAATGACTATCCTGAATATTTTTGGTCTCATCCATAAAGTTTTAATAGTTATCATGTTTTTGTAACCTGGCTCTGAGATTTCACAGCAGTGTTAGATTTCTTAGTCTTGCATGTACCAGATGTTCAACAAATTTCTTGGTCACGTGTTTGCACCACTTTCTGGATCAAGGTAGGAAAAGCTCATAACAAGATACACAGGCAGGGTGAAAACTTACTGTGAAAAAATATTTAGTCTTCAGTTTCTACTCAGTTAAATAGAACCACTTTCAATCAGTTTATACAAACAAAATTTAAGCTCCACCCAATTTTTTTTCAGCTGGGATTTTTTTTACACGTTTGATTATGGTTTAGAATAAGTAAGAATGTTGATATTTACATTAAATCTGTTTTATTCAATAAAAATAAGATGACTTAGTGGTTTGAATTTCCAAATGCTTCTAAAATCTGACTGTCTTCATTCTGCAACTGACAGAAACTGGTACACACGTGCAGCTGACTTTGTAAATGGGCAATCATTTATACTGATTTATAGATCTTAATTAGGCCAC